CAAGCCTTGTGCTATGGCTCTTCTTGTCTTCCACATTGATTGTGCTATTATATCTATCTACAGAAGAGCCAAGGCAGTCCTTTCTGAAAAATTGATTATTAAGCCCAATAATGACTAATATGTAAGGACTATTAATTATATGAAGCAAAACCAGCTTTTAGTTGGTAACAAGAACTAATCTCATGAAGGCTATTCCTTGGGTTACAGCACACCATGTAACTACTAGTCATCAGACCTCAAACATTTATACAAAGGTAGGTTTCTGTTGGACTTAAAAACAAAACAGAACCCAGAGCGCCTGGCTGGCTCAGTCAGTACAGCATGCGACTCTTGACCTCAGGGGTTTGAGATCGAACCCCATGTTGGGTGGAGAGATTGCTTAAAAATAAAATCTTTGAAAAACAAAACAAAAAATACACAACCAAAAAAACTAATTTCAAACATATGTTTTCATTAGCCAAAAAAATTTATACAACTGTCTGAACAAGAATTACAATATTTTCCACAAAATGGTGAATAAACTTGAATTTAAAACATTGAATTATAGTGGTTAAGAGCCCACACTTAAAAAACCAAAAAACTTTTTATGAAGGAAAATCACGCGCAGAAAGAGACCACAGGATGGTGAAGTGCCACATATGCATCACCCAACTTCAAGCAGGTACTAACGTGTGGTCAACCTTGTTTCATCTGCACCTGGCCCACTTTCCCCCAAACCTCTGTGGATTATTCCAAAATAAACCCCAGGCTTCACATAATTTCATTTATAACCATTTCAACACTTCAAAAGGCACAGACTTTGAGTCAGATAGACCTGGTGTCAAATCCAGGCTCTACCAACTAATGGCTTTGGGAGCCTGGGCAAGTGACTGAACTTCTCTGAGCCTGTCTTCTACCTGCAAAATGGGGATAGTAATCCTGACTTCACAGGAGTACAGTATGGATGAAATGAGATAAGCTATCTGAAGAACGGAGCCTAGCGCTGGCCCACAGGGAAGAGTGAATATGGTAGCTGCGGTTATTACAACTGTACTAGCAAAGACAGGACTCTTTCTGCGTCATTTCCAAGGAGCCCCACAAAGGACAAAGCAAATAGGAAGTATATGCATATTTTAAAAAGAGATGCTAACCTCTCTATGCTAAACTTACAGAGACTAACAAAAAAACTGATGATTTATGACCCTCTCAGCCCACAACTGACCTCTAGGGAGTTTAAGGAAAAGAGGTCCAGAAGAGCTCTTTGGATAAAACTGTAGTGCTATGGGGTTTCAAGCACCCTCCACGGGGGAGGGGGGATGGGACGGGACTATTTTCCTGTCACCCTAAACCAAGAGAAAGGGAGTTTTAAGAGGGGCCCCTAGAGAGTGTAAGTGACCACCCCCAGAAATTGTAGGGGACAGAGACTGGTGTCTGACCCACACCTGCTAAAAGCCCCGCATGGAGAAGCAGGAAGGGGCAGCCTGGGGTGGCTGTGTGGAAGGCCTGCCCCAGAAGCAAGCAGTACTTCCTGCAACGGCAAAGAGGAGCCCCCTCTCCCCAGGGCTGGCTTCACAGCCTAAGGCAGGCCCAAGATGGGGAAGGGAAGATTTATTTTTTTAATCAAGTTCAAAGGGGACATTTTAAGTACTTAAAAGAGACTCTTGTAATTTAAAGTGATATAAAAATTTACAGAATATCTATTATATAAGATAGGTGTGTATGTGATATGATATTTATAGGATATATATTCCATCCAGAAACAATAAAAGAACAGACAGAATGAGTTCAAAGAACTGAGATAAAAAACTAAGTTTCCCATGATGTTCAGCACCTTCAATATAATAGTTACATTATATGTTCAAAAGCTGAGCAACAGCAGAGTGAGGAATGCCATCATAAAGATTAATGAAATGCAGATATTAGTACAAATAATAAACTGTATGAAGTGTATAATCAAATATTAAACTGTCACTTCTAAACAGAATAAAATTTCAAGGCATATAAGAAAAGCTGCTCTTTTCATCTCTTTTTTCATTTATTTTCAGTGAGTAACCACAGCTAAGTGATGCTTCCATTAAGGATTCTACCCACTTCTTCCCAAAAGAATGGAACAGGGGGAAAGAAGTGAAACGTGCTCAAGACACAGGACAGAAACAAAAAGTGGAAAGATGATCATGTGGCCCAAGGTTACTGATCCAGGGACAGAAACTCCATGCACAAGGTACTGTGTTAAGCACTAGAATAGTACTTAAAGGGGCAAAGCAGGTTTTCTGCCCTTAAAGGAATTTGGATTAGACACGTAGCAACAGCGAGAGATGAATGTACACAGCCTTTAGGGGGTGGGAGAAGGAACACAACACTGAGACTAGCCCAAGGCCCAGTAAAGAATTCTTTTTTTTTTTTTAAAGATTTTATTTATTTATTTATTTGAAAAGAGAGAGAGAATGAGAGATAGAGAGCACAAGAGGGAAGAGGGTCAGAGAGAAAACTGAGCCACCCAGGCGCCCCCAGTAAAGAATTCTTGTGACGGCTACTGTGAAGTCAGGAAAAGCAAATTCATGGTTCTTTTAAAAACTCAAATCTTAAAATAAAATAAAAACTTACATCTTAGTCAACCCATTATAATGAGATATTCTATAGATTCTGAAGCCTTCTACACTGGTTTTGAAAGCTCATTCCAGGGGCGCCTGGGTGGCTCAGTCGTAAAGCATCTGCCTTCGGCTCAGGTCATGATCCCAGGGTCCTGGGATCGAGTCCCACATCGGGCTCCCTGCTCAGCGGGAAGCCTGCTTCTCCCTCTCCCACTCCCTCTGCTTGTGTTCCCTCTCTCGCTGTGTCTCTCTCTGTCAAATAAATAAATAAAATCTTAAAAAAAAAAAAGAAAGGTCATTCCAGTTAAGATCAATATTTCTTAAGGGGGAGAGTTATTCATTACTTTCAAAAAATGGAAGCACTCAACTGACCTTTCTAATAAAAAGTGTGATCGCTGTGATTGCATCTTGAATTATAAGCAGGCACAAATTCATTCTTGGAAAATAGTAAATGCCACAGAAGAGCTACCCCTCCGTCAGTTACAGAGTATCCAAACAAACGAGATTCTTCAATGGCAGTAATGACATCCTTGTGCCATCCACCTGTACAAACACAGGTTACAACCCTCCTCCCCACAGCTTATGGCATGTATTCTAGACAACCCAGCTCTGTTTCAGCACTAACTAATCATGACCCAAATTAGCCACAGAAGATGCTTTGTACAGTTAACAGAGGCTTCAGATTCATTTTCAGCAGACCCACATCCAGTGTGTTACCTAAGGTTTGCTGGGGCTCTCAAGACACAGCTGATAAGACAATTTCTTGTCAGATTGATAATGATGAAAAGTTAAGTCTCAGTTGCAGTTCTCACCTACAAAAACCGTTTGAGTAATTGATTACCATGTAAGTCAACGCAATCAAATATATTTCTGGTTATGTAATCACAGAACTGATTACTTTTCAAATAAAAATCCAGAGAACTAGATTACTTCCCAGAGTAAAAAGTAGCAACTGTGTGTGTGTGTGTGCGTGCATGCACACATACACAAACACACACACACACACAGGGGTTTTGCCAGTTTTCCATCTGGAAACCATGATGTAACAGGATAATCGCAAACTCATTCTCACTGCTTCAATCTGTGAATAATGCGCAGATCATCTAACGTGACTTAAGTAAGAAATTATGACGGCATGTAACTCAAGTTCAACAACCAGTCATTTATAGTAGGTTGATTTTTCAAGGTAATCTTTTGGGATTCAATATCTTAGAAGGCAAGAAGAAATAACATGAGAAAAAAACAAAGCAGTTTCTTTCCCACCAATAAGTAAAGAAAGATCGATTTTTCAAAGGTAGTAGCTCTACAGTCTATGAACAACAATCCTTCAAAATAAAATACAGCCAGCCTAATTCAAGTGGATTGATAAAAAGGTATCTTTCATTTAACTATAATTCATTTTTTGAATTAGAATTATTATCTACCTTAAAAGAATTTACTTCAAACATGATTTTTCTCCCCAGGATAAGAAGGCAACAGGTTACACAGAAGTCAAAGAAAAACATAGGTATACCTCTAGGAGGGACAAAACATTAGAGATGGGATTCTTCCTTTTAAGTCAATGATGTCACCTGGGTGGTAAAGGGAAGAGCTTCCTTACTTTCCCCTTCTTATCCTAAAGTCTGGAAACTAAGCCCCAGAAGTACCTTTATCTAAGGACAAAGGAATGACCAGACTCCCAGGAAAGAATATAAGAAATGACCATAAAGGATGGAAAGCTACTTCTAAATAAATGTGCCAGAACTAGGATGCTATTACCTTCAAAGTCATTACCTTAGAAATTATATACTTAATCCAATGACGCTGTGATAGTCACTCTGGAATCTGTTTCAGAGCTCAGAATGTTCCACATCCTTAAAACTAGTTAATCTTTGTCTTTTCAGGTTAGATTTGGCAATAGTCAAAAGTCCTTAGAGTAGCTGTGCTTTTCTTTGGAAAGTCTTTCCTGACCTCCCAAGTCCAGGTTCTGTGCCCCCTGCCCAGGGATCACTTCGTCCCCTGGCACAGCACCTTTCACTCTACAATGGAACTGCTTTCTTGTCAACAGTCCCCCGGGAAAACAGTAAACTGCACAGAAACAGGGAATATATCTTATTATTTATTATTACACCCACAATCCTAGCATAGTGCCCAGAAAACTGCAGGCCTCCAATACTGAATGATGCGATCCACTATCATATGAAATGGTTTGGAATACAGTGTCTATCTTTTCTATTGATCCTTCCAGCATCTCTCAGGAAAGAGTACCACACCTCACTGTGTGATTATCTACCTACAGAGAAGAACTATTACTTTATATACCTGGAGGAGAAGTGATTGCATTTGATGGATTTTCATTACTCATTTACGCAGAGAAAAGCAAAAATCACGACATCCTCACAGACTAGTAACTTTTCCACTCTCAAATCTGCAAGCACAAGAATATCTTACCTAGTTGTAATATCTTTATAGTGTCTCTGTAGGCTTTCATCACCAACTTGAAGTGGCGATAAAGTGGGTAGCACAAAACTCGTCTTCCAAAAGACACCAGAATTTCATGAACATTAGTCCAAGTCTGTGAAGTAGAGTTTAAATAAGTAATCATTTCCATATTACATAAACAAAAGGACACAACAAAATATGAAACTACTCTCAATTAAAAACTCTTAAGTATGGATCATCATGAAGCCACGCAAGAGAGAAATACAAAACCATGAAATGAGATTCTTTTTATATACCTTACAATAAAATACTTAACTGAAGTCTGTCATTTCTCGTACTTTATCAAGATATCACAAATGCTCTTTAAAAATCACATATGCAGCAGGAACGTTTTAAAGTCTTTTAAGAATTACAAATATGAATCTAAAACACATGGCACTAACAAAATGCAGATGCACATAAAAGACATTGTTAAATGATATATGTTTCATGTTTTTGTCCTTTAGAACCATTCCAGATAGTGTAGATGAAAGATGTGGAACTTGTCAGCGAAGTGTGTTCAGTCTCCCTCTTCTCCCTCTTCTTCTTTTTTTAGTGCTTTGGGAGTGAGTAATACATGGTAAATACATGGTATTTACTTCAGTAATTTGCTTTCACTTATCAAAGAGAAAAGTGATTTCTTGAAAAAAAAAGTGTTTTATCTTGAAAAGTATCAAACAGAAACCATTAGCAATTCAAAACTTACTGACACCACTAGACAAAGGCAGTTTTGTGCAAAATTGTTTTTTAATTGCATTTTGGTTAAAACTGTATTAAAAATGTAATCCATATATAAAACTTAAAATATAACAAGTAAAACTAAGGGAGCAGAATAATTTCCATGTGTATTAATCCTTAATGAATGAGAGATCTGATTAAGAATATCGAGTATCTGACAAAGAACAGCTTCTATCTAAAAAGAATTATAAACTTTCTAAAAATTCTACCAAAAACTAAATACTTTTAAAAGTTTCACATAGCTCTTAACATCTCTGGTGATTCTAAAGTTATCTCAAAAACAATAAAAATTTCAAATTAAAATCATAAATAGGTGAATTTATTCATGTAGATTTTAATAACTTGAACCATGAAATTAGTTAATCACCAACTACTTTGTTTTCAACCTAAGTAACCAACGCAATCATTACAAAAACCAGTTTCTCCATTATATGCTGATCATAGCAATAAGGAGAACCCAAGTGAAGTCTAGAGAACAGTGCTCCTCCATCTTTAATATGCATATGAATCCCTGGAGACCTTGCTACAGTTTCTGCTTCAGTGGGTCTGGACTGAGATTCTGTCTTTCTAACAAGCTCCCAGCCAAGGATGCTGGTCAAGCCGCTGGTTCACGGAACATTCTTTGGAGTAGCAAAATTCTCTGACAAAGCTGAATGTCTCAATTCCTGTTCACATCTATTGTTTGAACAAAGTGATGCCATGACAACTCTGATTTAAAACTTATCTACTGTATCTAGGATTTAAACTGGGAAAAAAACCCAAAAACCTAGTTGACTAAATTAATGACACAATTATCAGCTATTTAAATTGACACTTTTTTTTAATGCTGGCTTTTCTTTCTCTCTTTTTTTTTTAAGATTTTATTTATTTATCTGACAGAGAGACACAGCGAAAGAGGGAACACAAGCAGGGGGAGTGGGAGAGGGAGAAGCAGGCTTCCCGATGAGCAGGGAGCCCGATGAGGGGCTCAATCCCAGGATCCTGGGATCATGACCTGAGCCAAAGGCAGACACTTAACAACTAAGCCACCCAGGCCCCCCCCCCCTTTTTTTAAGGTAATCTCTACATCCACCGTGGGGCTCGAACAGAGGACCGCAAGATCAGGAGTCATATGCTCCACCAAATGAGCCAGCCAGGTGCCCCTAAAATGACACATTCTTCAAGGTTTCTAATTATTGTTGTGGTGTTCAACAATTTGTTCAGAGCTAGTATATTTTAAAATAGCATCCTTTGATAAGACTTACACAACTATTTTCTAGGAAACAGATATAAAAACAATGATTACTACACTAGAAGGGTTATCAGCTCTGACCACACTAATTGTAGGACCTAAGATAAGTTATTTAAACTATATAATCTGAGTTTCCTCATCTGTAAAATAGCAATGATACTTCTCTCACAGACTTACTGGAAGGAACAGGGGAAGTAATATATATAAAAGGCTTAACATGGTCCTTGATGGTCAGGAAATGGCAGCTAGCAGAATTATCACCTAGGTTTGCTGCCCAACTTTGAGCTCTGAGCCGCAATATATGCCAACTTACAAACAGGCTCTAATTCCACCCTACCTGCTCCCCCAACAGACTATGTGTGGTTCTTCCTCCAAAGTGTGTTCTCCTTCTCCCAAATTCCACAACACCCTACCTAGCTTCATTTGTATACTATGATTAGCAAAACAGTTACAAATGCTATTAGAATTTTATTAAAAAGATAGAAAAAACACTTGTATAACAAAGTTTCCACTTTTAAAAAGTCAAGTAATTGCTTGAATTACCCAAAATGAATGGCAACAGAAACATCACTTTTTAAACAAAATCTAAAAAATTGCGACTGAAAATCATACCTCAAACCAGCACAGTGTGGGACTCAGTTTTCTAATATTCCATGCAGATTCGACCTTTATTTGTTTTGGAGAAAAGAGTACTGTCATTTTAGAGGTTAAGTCATTCCAAAATAAAGCAAATACACCCATTTATTCAACTAGTATCTCAGTAGCATTGACATAGAAGAACTAAGAAGCATCCATGACTGAGTAAAAATAATTGCTTTGCAGAAGCTATCAAAGGCAAGTTTCTGCCTACTTTCCTTGGGATTTCACAAAGTAAAGCTTTTCTACTGATAAGAGTAGCAGAACATAAGAGCAAATAAGCAGGGGTTTGAAACTAAAAATTAAAGCAAAGCGATGCTTCCTCAATTTCTGTCCCTTCTCAACTAAGTTACTTGCTTCCCAAACATTCTGTGAATAATCTGCCAAAGGACTCAAAGATAATGCTGAAGTGCTGACTGGGGCACTTAAAAAGCTGCTCAAGAATTTGGACTTTCAGAAAATGCTTGTGAGAGAATAAGTACATTCTAGAGGTCTTGAAGTTGCAAGACTTCATGATGTCAAATATGCGAAGAATCAAAAATGGTAAATTTTATCGAGCATAACTAAACACCTTCACTCATCTCCTTAAGCAATAATGTGAAGTACTTTCTTTGTCAAAGAAAATATTTTCTCCAATTATGGTATCCTTAAAAGATGAGTGGAAACAAAAACCATCTCCAGCTATATTATACCCCTGATACACTCGTTAATATTCATTTTAGAGTCAAATGCAAATCTCAAGAGTCACCTTTGAAATTTTCAGAATCATAACAACAGAAAATTTGGCACATATCAAATAATAATCCTAATACTATGCTAATGCTACGATGTTGAGAAAAGCAGATTAAATAATATACATCATGACCCAATTTAAATACACATACACACAAGTACACAATGAAAAACTGGAAGAGATGTATCTCCTCGTAACACTAGCTATTTCTGATTGGCTGAGATTACAGGAAGTTTTAATTATTTTCTTCATATGTATATTTTTCCTTTTATACTGATAGGAATTATCTGTGCAATTTGTAAAAAAAGGAAAGCATATGCTCAGCCAGGAAATAACCCTTGAGCAAGTACAATTATAAACAGCTGCAGGGGCATGTTAACTGGAAAGACTTTTTTTGGCTTTGCAGCCTTTTTTAAATATACAATCACTGATATAGGTAAGAAAGAAGCTTAGCTCTTCATTTACAAAATCAAATGTGGGCTAAGAAGAGATACAACAAATTTTGTATTATTAAAAGATCATTTAAAAAATAATGTACTTTATAAAAGGCTTTACTTTTACAGGATTTCTTTCAATAGCAAAAAATGATACGACTCAAGTTTTTAAAAATGTGATTTACATATAATTTTTTCAGAAGCATACCTACTGTATAAATTAAGGGACACCTGCGGATAAATGCTCAGATTCCCTTGCTCCGTAAAAAGCTTGCATCTGCAAATGGACAGCTTGGACAGAGGATATAAATGGGAATGGTAAAGTTTACCTCTTGTCAATGTCAAGTGGCAACAGCTCTCTTCTTTGGCCAACTCATCTCCTAAAGAGATGAGAGCTCAGGATAACCTTTCTCTACCCTCAGCTTTATTGCCTCGCTCCACTACTTGGTAGACACTGACGCCCAGAGAGAAGAAAAAAGATCAAGCAAGCATTATGCGTTCACGTTGGTACTCACCACCGACGCACATGTGCAGCTCTGCCAGGAGCACCCCCTGAATAACTAATCACAACAGCTCTTACTCTCCACGGGAGGAGTGATGCTTACAGTTTATTTAGTCCAGTCACTTATGCCAACATGCAGAGACATACGGGCACTTACATTCTTCTCTCCTTCAGTGACACGAGTTTCATAGCAATACGCCAGAAGGATATCAATCAAACTGTAGTACACTTGGCGACGAGCTCTCTTGTCCAGTAGGTAAGATTTATTGACAAATTTTCGTAGCTGGTATTTCTCTTCTTCAGAAAAAGACACTAGGGAAAAAAATGCATCTAAAAATTAAATGTTCCATTCAGTTTTGTAAAACCCCCAGTGTGGAGGATTTGTCAAAATTAGAACTTCGATTATAGAAACTGAAATAGGAGTTATTTAATTCTGAATATAGAAAGAACTTTCAAACTAGACTTCACAGTTTTATTAAGGGCTGTGCATCTGCTCAAACCCTAGTAGAGCTAAATAAAGGAGAAATGTCTAAACAGTATCTCTTCCTTATTTCCAAGATGCCCCTTTTTTGCTACACTGTCCTGTATTCAAGGCATCTAACTGCTGGAGCTACTGACTTTAAAATAAAGATAAGACAGTTCAAGAACACAAAACATAATAGCTAAATAAAGCACTCTGTAAATATTCATTATCCACTTTGAAAGTTCTACACAAAGAAATAAGAATATTCCCATATAATAGTCAACGTAAGGGCAAAGTATACTGATATTCTTTATACACAGAAACAAAGTGTTACATCACACATATTTAACTTGAGGGAAGAGGATGGTTCCGTTCAACAGTGTGTCTTTTCTTCTTTGGTTTGTCACCGTTTCTCCATCTTCATTGACAGCCTTCCCCACATTAAAAATCTAGTATATATCATCTCATATTTTTCTCTATTATCATATAATGTTATACAGACACACAAACATAAACAAGGGAATTTATACCTCACCGCCCCCCCAACCCCTGCCAAGGAATTAGATCATTTTTCTCCATCTAGCCTACCTTACTCAGGATCTCTGGCAAATTTCTCTAAGTCAATTGGTACTTAGCTAATTTTTGTAAAGGAGTAGAATATTCCATGGTGTAGTATGCTCTATCCAACCACTCCCCCTACTGATGGGCATCCACTATGCTTCCAGTTTTCTGCACTGTTAATAATGCTGCATAAATGTCCTTACCACATGTCCTTGGATACTGAAGCATAAATTTCTATAAAACAGATTCCCAAGAGTAGATTCACTGGGTTAAAAAGTGCATCTGTTTTAAAAAAAATACTTCATTTAAAGGCTACAACTCTCCTTCTTTTTCTTTTTTTTTAAAGATTTTTTATTTATTTATTCATGAGAGACAGAGAGAGAGAGAGGCAGAGGGAGAAGCAGGCTCCCAAGGAGCAGGGAGCCCGATATGGGACTTGATCCCAGGATGCCGGGATCATGACCTGAGCCGAAGGCAGACGCCTTCTTTTTAACAATCATGGACACAAGTTCTCTTTCCTACACACATCCCTCACACCCAGCAATAAATGTAAGAGCTTCTCCTCGTTTCCAGTTTTTTTTTTTTAAAGATTTTATTTATTTATTTGAGAGAGAGAGAGAGAGCACATGAGAGGGGGGAGGGTCAGAGGGAGCAGCAGACTCCCCGCCGAGCAGGGAGCCCGATGCGGGACTCAATCCCGGGACTCCAGGATCATGACCTGAGCCAAAGGCAGTCACTTAACCAACTGAGCCACCCAGGCGTCCTCCTCGTGTCCAGTTTAACAGATAGGAAGTGACTGTGGTAGAAAGAATTCTAAGATGAGACCCACTGAATCACATCATTTGAATGTGGGCAGAATGTGTGACTTGCTTCTATCCAAAAGAATATGGTAATAGTGATGGGACAGTCAATACCATGATTATGTCCCATTAAGATTAGACTGGAGCCAGAGACTCACCGCTGGTTTTAAAGAAATATGATGCCATGTTGTAAGAGGGCTGTGTGGCAGCAAGCTGTGGGGGGCTCTGAGATCAGACAGTGGCCCCCAGCTGACAGTCAGCAAGGACATGGGGACCTCAGTTCTACAGCCGCAGGAATCGAATCCTGCCAGCTATCACATGAGCCTGGAAAAGGACCGTGAGCTCCAGAAAAGAACTTAGCTACCAAAACATATTAAAAAAGAAAAGAGAAGATAGCCAAATTTAGCTACAGCCAGATAAGATCCTGAGCAAAGACCCAGCTAAGCAAGCCCAAGTCCTGAGCCATGGAAACTGAGTCAAATTAGAACAGTTTCTAATTTGTGGTCATTTGTTATACAGCAAGAAAAATCTAATACAATGATAGATCACTGTTACTGCAGTTAGTATTTTTCTAAATGCTAAACTTTGAGCATTACTTTATAGGTTTGTTGGCAACCTGTGAATGAACCATTTAAATGTGTTTTGCCCATTTTTTTCTATTGGATGGCTTGTTTTGTCAAATTTTTAAGAACTCACAGTTATAGAAAGAAACCTTGTCATATCTCCAAATCTACTACATCTCCACTGACTTTGTCTGTGGGATCTTTTGCCAGTGAATTACTTATTTTTTGTGTAGCCAAATATGTGCATCTTTTTTAAAAAAACAATTATGAATTTACAGCCTTTGATAAGGTTTCCCCAACCCCTAAATTGTACACAAAGCCTCTCAGCTTTTCTTTTTGTTTTTTTTAAAGATTTTATTTCTTTACTTGAGAGAGAGAGAGACAAAGAGAAAGAGTGGGCACATACTCAAGAGCAGGGAGAGTGGCAAAGGGAGAGAGAAAAGCAGACTCCCCGCTGAGCAAGGAGTCTGATGAGGGCTCGATCCCAGGACCGAATCATGACCTGAGCTGAAGACAGACACTTAACTGACTGAGCCACCCAGGCGCCTCTCTCATTTAAGATTTACGGTTTCCTTTTTAAAATGTAAGTGTTTAATCCATCTGGAAGTTACTTTTTCATGTTTTAAGATTTCGGCTAATTCCAGATGAATAGTTAATTGTGCCAACACAGTCTGGTCAGTAATCCATCTTTTCCCACTGTACTGAACCACCAATTTTGTGAATAGATGTGCTGCTTTTCTTGCTAAAAACTACTTCCAAGCATTTTCAGCTTTTGTGACTTGTAAATACAATATTTTTTCCCCATTTCCAGGAAGTTACCAAGAGGAGAGGGAAAATCTATTTCTTTTCACATACCATCTTAACCAATGTTTGGCTACCCAGGCCAAAAAATTACAAGTATTGAATAAACACTAATGATTAAAAAAAAAAAAGTTATGTCTACATTGGTAAGGTAAGCAAGTGTAAGACTGAAGTTCCTTCTAAGTTTCCTTTGATGTCTACAATACAGGCAAGCCAACAAGTATCTATTTTCTCACATTAAAACGAGCATTATCGGTTACCATACATACGAAGTAAAATACATCTTGTCTTAAAGCAAGATTTACAGAAAGAGTAACAGATAATCACATACATGTACTCAGTTCCTAGCTAGTGTAAGTAAAACATGGCCTACTACTTGTCTTCGAGTGACTTCTACAGAAACTCAACCATCTAGATATTTTTAAGTTACTTCCAAATAAAAATGTTATCTCATTTTGCAAAGTAATCCTTAACTTTCCTTCCATGCCCTATCAGACAATCACCTGCAAATTCACTTAAGTTTTTAAGCCTGATAAAGAGGAGCAACCAGCTTCCAGTTCCAGGGCTTCCTGTCAACCTAATCCCAAAATAACTTTAAAAGGCTCTTTCTCCAGGGTTTAGAATTGCCCATTATATTTAGGTAAGGACAGGCTAAACTGCTAACCAAAAAGAACCCAAAATACAGTGACTTATATAACATAGAAATTTCTCTCCCACGCTACTCTGAGTGAATGATCCAGGACTGGCGGAAGCATCAGCATCCCATCATATGACTTCCATCTTTGCATCTAAGAAAGCTGTTCCAGGTTTTTACCATTTTATAAGCAATGGGAAAGCAGAATAAGATGGCAATCACCTTCTTTCTAAAGACCTGATCCAGCGCACATAGCACTTCCACTCATTTCCCATCACCCAGGACTTAGTCACATGACTACACCCAGTGGCAAAGAAGGAAAGAAAAGATAGTCTCTAGGGCAGTCACTACCTGAGCACTCCTATGCCCAGCTCCAACTCAAGAAGCATCTCAGGGGAGGAGGACTAACCAAAGACACCAGGCTGGCTGTGATGCTAACTTTTAGGAGTCCAAAAATTATTAAATCGCCTTTTTTTTTTTTTTTAAATTTAAAGTAGGCTCCACGCCCAACGTGGGGCTCAAACTCACGACCCCGGGATCAAGAATCACACACTCTACCAGGGGAACCAACCAGGCGCCCCTAAATTGCCTTTTTAATATTCCCAGATCACCCTCTCGATAGCTAGCTACCCCATCCCTTTCTATCTCTGCTCAACAAAAACTGCCCTTCTGCTCCTCACAACTGGGTAAAGCCAGAAGAGACAGAATATGATTACTGACACATGCTGGCCCCTTCTCACAAGAGTTTCCTAACCCACTTCAGTCCTCTCTTAGGAGCCTTCCCCTTAACACGGCTTCTTTTTGTTTAAAGGCTTCCTTCCAGCAGTTTTACAGTCTATCCTCTGGGGGAAAGAATCTTAAATACAGTTATTGGAAATTACTAGAAGCAATACTCCTTTAACTCATTAAAATTTACTTAGTGCAAAAATACAGGTCTTGAAATACATTTATGTAATCATTTTTTCAAAGATGTTAGAAATCTTATGATTAAAAAGTATAAGAAGATAAAGGAAATAAATTTGCACAAGTGTTGCTTACATAAATGACAAATAACTATGAGAATGCATTTACGTAATTTTCTGGCCATAAAGAAATGTGTATGTACCTTTTTTTTTGTTTTTTTGAGAGGGAGAAAGTGGGGAGGGGGAGAGGGAGAGAGGCAGGCTCCATGCCCAGCACAAAGGCCGATACCGGGCTCCATATCAGGACCCTGAGATCGTGACCTGAGCTGAAATCAAGAGTTAGGACACAACCGACTGAGCCACCCAGATGCCCCAGAAATGTGGATACTTTCAAACTTAATGGAGGTAGGTGTCCGGTGAAGCCTTTTTTAAAGACTGACATTTGGAAACAAAATTAATTAAGACAGATAAAATAGGTATTGAATGTCTCATTAAAGGGCTCATATGAAGATCCTTTAATTTAAATAGAAGCTCTCCGTTCAATTAAAGCAATCTGATGTAAGGAAAATTTAAGAAGGCACATACTCACTGCCGAAGAAAGAACACCTAACAAAGTATTTTAAGTCCCCTAGTATTTCATAAGATTTGAGACAATATTCCCCAAGGTGTCGTTTTTGAGATGTTCATTACTTTAGCTAATAAGAAAGTGCCAGGTGTTCAAGATGATATTATCACACTTGAGAAAAGCCTTTATCCTAGTTGACTAATAAGGACTACTGCTTCCAGATAATTCTAAATCAGAAGATAAGCATGCCCAGAACCACTTAATAACACATTAACTCATCTAAATGTTCACTCCTTCATTCTTAAGTAATCACATCTGTATATATGCTGAATAATTTGTAAAGGCTGACCTGGGAACTACAGGTTCTCATGTTCCATCACCCACAAGTAAGGGCTTTCCCATATTACAGGTCACTGTTGGGACTGTGTCTGTAAGAAAAGCCTGCTGGAATGTCCTCTTCTGAATTCTTGGAGCTAGGTGCCCCTAGCCTTTCCTTAAAACATACCACCTTTCTCTGAGTGTTTTCAAGTCCCATTTTGGCCTAAAAAGTTCACTGATAAATACACAGATATAAATTCTGAAATTCAAGCAAAGAAACCAGAGATGATAAATAGCAATATCAACAAAATAGGAAATCACTAGAGAAACCAAAAGTCTGAGCTCCCCAAGGCCTTTTTTTATTGGAGCTGTAAACTGTATCAGCCAAAGGGGAACTTGGGGAGGTTTGCACACAATCAGGTCTAACCAAGCAGCAGCAATGGGAAGAAGTACAGATGCAGTGCCAACAATAGTTGGATGATTGCCACCATGAGTAACATTTGTCAAGCATTTGTATGACTTCGCTTCTGCTATATAGTTCACAACATTTCGGTTAATTATACTTCTATAAATAATCTACAGTCAAACAAAGGCAGCTGAAAGCTCAATTCATTTAGGGAAGAAACTGGTGCCCTAGCATGATGCAAATGGCCCAGGACCACCTCCCAACATTAAAAACCCCAATCAATATGTCTGACGACTGCAAAGGGGCTCCCATCAAAATGGGAAGTGACCTTCTTACTTCACTTAGAACATTTTCTACTTTTGTTACTTTTAAATCATTCCTTCTCTCTTAATCCCCCTCCCAAATATCTCTGTCTTCCATGGATCAACAATTAAACGATCTCTGATCTGGCTCCTCTCAGAGGAATGCTAATCTGTCGATTGTATTGTATACTTTCTGGAAAGCGATCAAGGGAACCAGAAGAAAATGTGTTGCATTCAAACCTTTCGCCTAAATGGGTAGCCCTGCAGGGCTACAACTTTCAAAGCTGACACTGACAGCTCTACAAACACGGACGGCCTCACTGGTGCCAAACAGGATGTCCCTGCTAGGAAGTTCACTGACTAAAAATGTTATGTGGTGTCATAGCACGCAACCATGTGCCAAGATTCTTGGGCTGAGATTAACCGCTGAAAGACAACATGGGAAATGTGGTAAGTCCGTCCTCATGAAACCAGAGCTCAGGGGGAGCACAGCGTTTTAACACTTCCATTTACAAGCCTTTGGGGGAGGAAGACTGGGATCATTACTGAAGATGTTAATAAAAGTCTCCATGTTATAACTCAGGGTTACAATGCAAATGACAGGAATCACAACCGAGGCAGAGACAGGGAGCGAAGTTCACCATCGAAGCCTTATCTGGAATTCGAAACAATCTAGCTTACTATTTTATGACGAGGATGAATCAAAGGGAAGCCCTCACCTGTGCTGTTCTATCTGCCTGGCAACGGCTGATGAGGGAACACAAAAGAGAAACACCCCAACGGCGTGACACAGAGAGGAAGGAGACCTGGGAGGCACAGAACAAGGAGGCGGTAGAGGGGAAAATCCAGCAGGAGCATGCTCCCCGAGTTCGCTGAGAACTTCAAGGTTTATTTCTTCGCTGATTCCCTTTCTCCCATATTATAATCTGGTTTGGCACACTCCAACTTATCTTCCCAATTCTAGGCGTCTCAAATACTTGAACGGGGCGGGCAGCGGCAGGGGAGGAAGAAAAATCTCATTAACAAAAAACCTTCCCCTTAAAGTTTTATAAATGTACAACAATCTTAATTTCACAGAGAAGCCATTCAATTCCTGGCTCCCCTGCCAATGATTTTCCTCTACCATAATAATCTTTAACATTTCCAATATGCTAGGGATTTTAAGTACATCATCTCATTCAATCATCGACACAACTCTATGAGGTAGGCAGCAACCCAGCAAAGATGCAAGATCACACAACTAGCCTGTGGTGGAGCAAGGCATTAATGCCTGAGCCCCATCTTTAGCTTCTATCCCATCCTTAACCCTATACTTGGCACATGTGGAAAAGGTACTCTCTGTACAACAACAGAGAGCTCAAATTCTTCTACTTTACATCACATGTCCTTGGTATTTTAAAAGGTGATTTTTAAAATGAATCACCATACTAGCTTAGTAGACTATGAATGTTCCTTAAGCACCAGCTGGGGTACATGCCTTGGGTTGGATGTAGATGAAGGGACCAAAGGGGCAGTGGTTCAAGCAATGACCTGGCTTAATCTTCTGTTAAAATTATACACAGAGAACTAACCTAACTCAAAGGCTGGCTCTCACAGGAAACAGGACCTAGAACAAGCTATAACTGATCAAAGAAGAGCGAGTTAGAATTTAAATCAAAGGGAATGCCTTTTCTTGATTTTTAGGGCAACTAGCTCACCCTTGTGGACAGAAAACTGCACAACCACCAATTTCCACCCACACCACCTCATTAAAATACCGCACTGAAACTGGGGAAACTGATTCAGACCACTAGATAACCTTGATGATTTCAGAGTAAGCAAGCTTTCCAAACAGATCTACATGGCATAGATAATTACCTATCTAAATTGTGTTAGCAATCCTCTCCCTGAAAATCTGTCAATATAATCTGGGAAGTCTCTGAAAGATTCTTAAACTCAAATCAAATATAAAACCAAGGATTTGTTGAAAACAATGTAACAAGAGTCATTACTTATAAATGAGTTTCTCTTCTGCAGTAGAGTCAATTATAAAAGATTAAAGTAGCAATTTTTCAATCTGGTAGAAATCACCTAAGCTCTTAACAAAACTGAACTAGAGAAATATTGACAGCAGTATTTATTTATTCTCTAAATATTTACTGAGTACTTATTATATAACAGGCACTATGCTAGACAATGGAAACACAGCAAATGACAGACTACTGCATTACTGCACAAAGAATCAAAATACTGTTCTGCAACAGACCTGTAGCTACTTTAGACTGAGTGGCCAAAGAAGGCCACTGCAGAAGTCTGTAAACAACCTGAAGATCCATTGGTAGTAAAGAGCCCAAATATGTGCACTTGTATATACAACAGTATACTAGGTAGGCACTAAAGCTCAGGTAGAGCCCTAAGTACCAATATGGAAGATGTACAACATAGACTACAAACTGGAGAAAGCAAGGAAGAACAGAGTATGTAGGAGTCTGTGTGTATAAATTTCTTACAGCAAATATTCAGATGTGGGTAAATGCCCTGCAAACACCCCAAAATTGTTAACAGTGATTACTTTCAGGAAGAGGAATTTGGAGTGAGGAGATTCTATATTCCACTTCATGTATGTATATGTATGTGTAGTCCTTTCATTTAAACATTGAAATTTCATTTTTAATACAGGAAGAAAAGCCAAATCAGTAATGACAGAACACATGGGCCTTCTATTCTTGATCTATCCGAAACTTAAAATTCTAACATACAGAACTAATATTCTGAAAAAATTGGGAAGGACATATCAAATTCATTCAACAAAGGGAATGAAAACTAGATCTTTTCCACAATTACTAACACTCAAATGTCCTTACCAGAGAGGAATGTTCTTTTTTAAGATTTATTTATTTATTTGAGAGTGTGTGTGCACGCGTGTCCAAGCATGCAAGTGGGAGGAAGCGCAGAGGGAGAGAATCCCCAAGCAGACTCCCTGCTGAACGCGGGGCCAGGAGAGGGGGCTCTAGCCTATGACTCGAGATCATGACCTGAGCCTATGTGAAGAGTCAGATGCTCAACCAACTGAGCCACCCAGGTGCCCCTAAATGTTCAGATCTTTCAAGCAAATTACTTAACTACTACAAATGTCCTGTGTGTTCATGTCCCTATACTTACTTAAAAAATAAAGATTTTAAAAAGGACCCCAATGATTCAGAAGTAAAGCATACTTCAAAAGACTGTCCCAAGACAAGTCTAATCACTGAGTGGCATTTTCCAGTCCGGGGTAAAGACTACATTTCCAAAATGAACAAACCAAAATAGTATCTTCCCTCTATGAGGCAATTAGAATTGTGTGCTTAATAACAGGGAAGATGGTCAACAAATGAACCTAATTTTGAATTTCTTACCTAATGCAGCATGATTTTCTTGCTCCTGATTCTTTGCCAAAGAGGCCATCATTTCTGAATATATATCAGTCCACCAAGGATTATACTTCAATACCTGTTCAACAGCCTCGTCTTCAAAAAAGTCAGCTCTGGAAAGAAAACAGTGAATGAGCATGTTACACAGAACTGGGCTGATTTTGGTTTTTTAAAATTTTATCTTACTCATCACATTTGTACTAGAAATATAGATTATTAAAGTACAGATCAAGGAAACGAGCACTGTATTTACTGTTTTGTGGTCACTAATCACCATAAAGGGAAAACTATGCATCTGACTAAAGGGATAGCCGACATTTCTGCTCTCGTCAGAAACAAGGTACAGAAAAGACCAGTCCTCCCCTGAAAGCCCATCCCATGTATGGCAGTGGCATGGGGTAAAGCAAATCTGAACACACAAGGGACTGAAGCATGGAACCTGGGCTAGATTTGTAAGTACCACCTATTTTGGTAAAGTTACAATAAAGGAAAGAAACTTTTAACTCCACCAAGCAAAGAAAACTAAACATATCAACAGGAAACAAAGGATACTGCATACCCACAAAAAGGCTACACATAAACATACATACACATTTTTTTAGCATGTGCCTTCATACGTTCTACCAAGATGCAATTTCTTTCATAGCTCTGCTAATCTTAATAGTTCCTTTGCTTAAAACTATTCAAAAAGAAAAAAGCAACCTTTGTAAAGAACAGAAAATTAATTTTCCTGCACTTTATTTTCTCAGGTTTTTTTTAAACATTTTATTTATCTGAGAGAGAGCGAGCGAGCAAGAGAGAAAGCACAAGCGGGGGGGAGGGCAGAGGGAGAAGCAGACATTCCCCCCCCGCCCCCCCGAGCAGGGAGCCCAACACAGGGCTCAACCCTGCACTTTATTTTCTCAGGGTTTTTTAAAACATTTTATTTATTTGAGAGAGAGCAAGCAAGAGAGCATGAGCGGGGGCGGGGCAGGGGAGAGGGGCAGAGGGAGAAGCAGACTCCCCCCTGAGCAGGGAGCCCAACACAGGGCTCGATCCTGCACTTTATTTCCTCAGGTTTTTTTTAAACATTTTATTTATTTGAGAGAGAGAGAGAGCAAGCAAGAGAGAGAGCATGAGCGGGGGGGGGGGGGAAGAGGGGGCAGAGGGAGAAGCAGAACCCCCTGGGCCAGGAGCCCGACACAGGGCTCGATCCTGCACTTTATTTTCTCGGGTTTTTTTTTAAACATTTTATTTATTTGAGAGAGTGAGCAAGAGAGAGAGCACGAGCGGGGGGAGGGGGGAGAGGGGCAGAGGGAGAAGCAGACGCCCCCCTGAGCAGGGAGCCCAACACAGGGCTCGATCCCAGGACGCTGGGATCATGACCTGAGTCAAAGGCAGACGCTTAACCGACTGAGCCACCCAGGTGCCCCTACTTTCTTAGTTTTAACTTGAAAAATAACTATTACATTCAAATTATACTCCTGGAGGACATTCATTCAGAAATTACAACACTGCATTCAAAGTTGAAAACTCTGTATTTATAGGAAGAGAGTGACAAAAACTCTGGGTGAAAAATTCATTTATATTTCAGTTAATTAGAAACTCAAGGAATTGGTTGATTTCATAAATCGATTTTCTAGCTGAAAGTTTTATGATCTGAAATATTTTTCCTTCAACTGAGATAGTGAAATCTTTCTAAAAAGAAGTATCACAGATAACTCACTATGTGCCAAGCACTGCACTGAATGGTTTTCACCCATTATTTCCTTGAATCCTCACACCACCCCCAGGGGTAGGGGGAACTATTAATACTCCCATTTTACGTAAGTAGAAACTCAGGGTCAGAAAATTTGTATATCATGGTCAAAGTCAAAGAACTGGTAAGAAGTATGGGTAGGATCTGGACCCAATTAAGTCTTACTCCAGAATCCAAGCTATTAACCAATATAAACATTCCATTTTTATGCTTGAGGAAATAAAAGTACATATTGGACAAAACTGAATAGCAATGATCTTGAAATAGTAATTCTCAATATCAATTTTGTCACGTGCATGAGAGATATTCAAAAAGATAAGTAATAGAAGTAAATGGCTAAAATGCTAACTAAGTCAACAAAAGCACTGTACTCTTCGCCCCGCTCCAACTCCATTTTGGGCAGTGGGATTACACGGCTGACAAGACAGAGGCGGTCACGGTCCGTATGGAACTTACAGCGCCATGGGAGAGTCCAACAATCATAATACAAGTGCTATGTAATTGCTATGACCTAACAGTACAAGCATCTATGGCAAAGTGAAACTGGGACAGCAGGGAAGGTGCCTGGAGAAAAGACTATCTAAGCCAATAGGCAATGATACTTAACAGGTAACTGGACTAAGAAGGGTGGGAGAGAACATTCTGAGCTGTAAGAATAGTTAGCAAAGGCGAGGAAACAAGAAGTCGCAGTTAAGGGGGGAAAAAAAGCTGAGAACAGCTGAAAATATTACATTGTAGTGACAACAACATTGTAAGCCATGTCAAAAAATCCTAGTGGATTTTTATCCCTAAAAACAATTGAACACTTAAAAGCTTTTACATACGGGTCTGACATTGGTGTGTCTTGGAATACCACTCTCACTGCAGTCTGGAAAATGGTCTAAAGGAACAAGCCCCAAGGCACAGGAATCATGGAGGCCTAGAAAAGGGTAGCAGCCACGGACATGGAGTGAAGTGGATGGATCTGACCTATAGCCAGAAGCTAGAATCCTTAGGATGCAGTGGTAAAGGGAGGACCAGAAAGAGACTGAGTAAAGCAAACAGTAAAGAGATAAATGGAAATTTTAATCACTTCAGGATAGATTAGAAGTGTGGGGTAAGAAAGCAGTCAAAGATAAATCCCAGGTTTCTACTCTGGGTGACTGGCATGAAAAATGGTACACTCTGCCAAAGAGAAAATTCAGAAAAGACTTTGCAGGGAAAAACGATGAGTTCGATTTTGGACACGTTGCTATAGAGGAGTCGGTGAATACCCTGTCGCTCTCCAAACCCTTAACAATGTGACTTTTCTTCAGAGCACTTATCAACAATCGAAATATTGTCTGCTTCCCCACTGGAACAGGAGCCCCATCAGCACAGAGACCTTGTCATATTCACTCTAATCCTCAGTGTCTGTGACACTACCTGGCATGCAGTTCATCCAAACAAGTATTTGTTGAACAAGCAAGGGCACATGTGAAAGAATGAATAGATGAAATTTTAACGCTTTTTCCTAAGCTTGCCATTTTGAATAAAGAGCCACGTTGGGATGCCTTCGACAAACTGTAGTGTAAAAATAATATCCAAGAGGAGTTACAAATAGAGAAAAAAAGATAATCAAAAACAATATGTGTTTATGGATTATCTGTTATATGCCCAGTATTCTGATGGGCTGCAAAACACACAGCGGGGAAAAACATCACACAATGGCATCTAGAATTTACAACAAAAGATTTAAAAAATAATAATTATCCTAAGTCATTTATATGTGCCTTTGAAATGTATGAATTTTTCTGTATGATGAATTAACCTCACTGTGTTCTGCCTTGGGATGGATTTAAAATTGGTTTTCTCTAAGCTCCCAAAAAACCTGACACTATAAGGAAACATCATGACCAGTAAGGATTAAGTTAAACAACTTGAAAGTGTTATATAGTACACACTAACATACACTATGCATTAATCGTGTACATTACATTTATATACATAAATATATAATACATGCAATGCATTGCCTGCAAGGTAGGTAAAAACTGAAGTAAACATTTTCTCCCACTGTATTAACCAATAAGAACAATTAAAAAAAAGCACTGAGCCAAAAAAAATTTTAATTGAAAATTTAAAAGAATTTTACTTACACTTCATTTATTATTAGCACATTTGGGTGAGTCAGTCAGCTAATATAAATGAGTAAGAAATAACACAAAAATGACAATTAGCCAAAGTCCCACTGCTACTGGAAAAGTCACAAAGAACCTTTGCCTCACAGCTTCCACTCTCCGACCTGCCCATGACTAAATTTAAACCACTCCTTGAGAAATGGAAAGAACAGTTCATGCATACTATGAAAGAAAATGAGCTTCTGGATAAAGAAACACAGAAGATGGAGAAAAATAAGGACTGCATATAATATCGCACTGCTAAGTATAAATTCCAATTTCCTAATTCTCTCAGGCCAAGTTATTCTTCCAGTTTGAGAAGAGATAGGCAGTTCTTCTAATTAAGCTCCCTCCCACTTGAAATTTTAGTCTTGTAAAGCTCATTCTGTTTTCATGCTGGCCCGAGAAATTTGCTGACATGAAATTTCCCACTTTAAATATTCAGCATGATTTTAAATAGGTTTCTTCAAATTATTCTTCAGTGGACCTTTAAAACCACAATTGGAGAGAGAAAGGTAATTAGAAATGACAATGTAAATGGAGCTGAATCTCTCAGATGTCCTCCAAAATATAACATACCCTGCTCTTACCCAGTTCCCCCCAGGACATTGAATGGTTCGACCATTTATCACTACACATCACTCAATGCATTTGCACATCACAAGATATATTTCTGCCATTCCAATTAGTCTCCCACTGTGTCACAGGAGATAGAATGTTAATCACAAGAGCAAAAGCAGTTAAACTGGAATAGTGTACATGAAAAGGAAATACAAAATAACAAATGGAACGACTCTTTTCAAGTCCCAACCGAGCCTCTTAGTAGTGGTATGACCTTGGGCAAGTCCCTTAACCTCCTTTCCCCAAATGTTGTGAACTGATTTAAATAATCACTTGAGAGCACTTGGTAAGCTGAAAGCACTATATAAAATAAGGGACTATGATGATTATAGCTGCACACATAACAGTTTAGAAATTGTTGGCCCAGAGCTTGGGAAGAATAATAATTGAGGCCTATATCACCATACAACTCACATCCTAAGACAGTCTAGCATCCACAGAGGCCAGGTGACAATCCCTTACTTGGAAGAAGTGTTACTATCATGGCCAATAAGAGACATCACAATGTCTCAAGTGATTATTTAACTATCCATTAACTAGATAAGTCTGTTAGGCAAATACAAGCCTGACAGAGATGCATTATGTCAAAAGACACAATTAAAGCAGATGGGAAATACAGCAAAACTTTAAAATTAGAATTTACTTATACCCTACCACAATGAATAATTATTTAATTAGACTCAGATCTTCAATTACAGGTGCTCGCAGATCAAGTGTTGGGAAAACCCTGGATCAGCCAAGAAATGCAGTACATGTAGATTCAAATTCTTAAAGAAATTGAAACATCTTTTCATTTACATATACTGTTAATTACAACAAAAAGTCTACTGAAAAGAACTAAAAATATTCTCATGAATGCGGTGTTCTACTTTCAAGCCTGGCAAAGAAGTACATTAAGAGTTCTCCGTTGCCAGAATGACCTACTGAGAAGCACATCTTACAAAGATCACAGAGGCATAAGTTTGTAGGTTAATTCAAATGTCAATTAAGGTTCTGAGCCCTCACTAATTTCTAGAATCCTAAAACCACATGCCTAGCATACTTAAAAAGACATTCAAAACTTTTCAAATCAATGTCAAGTCAATTATTTAATCCTCAAAAAACTCAATACTCACAGATAATGATCAGGATCAAATTTGGCCAGCTCAGCAGCCAGGCGTTTCTGTCTTCGTTCAGCTGTAGGAGTGAAATCTGGATCCTTAATATCAATAACATCACTCAATTCATCCTAAGAACACCCAGAAAAAAAAGAATAATTGCTATCTCCCATTTCATCACTGAAAAATCTAATTTTACACAAAAGGCCAAAACAAAGGAACCATCTGATCATACTACCTGTGACATTTCGATTCAAATCCAGCAAATATTTGTTAAAACACCTATTGCTTGCCAGGCCCTGCTGGAAGCTTTCACATAAATTATCTCATTTAATCCTTACAATAAAGTGGTCAATATATATTAGAACTATAAAAGTTCATCACAAAAAAAAAAAAAATAAACCCCGTGCAAGCAAGCAGGAACATTGAATTCATCTCTTCCCCATTTACTCATAGAAATGTGCAAGGTATTAACAGCATATTTAAATAAATTTCTAGACAGTAAGATGGAGGTGCTCCTGCCACGTCAGCAAACAGAAATGTAGATAACTTTTATGTGCCTGTAAATCTCTGCTTGACCAGAAATGCACTACATCCAGTCAGCCAATCTCCAGAGGCCAAGCCAACCTTGGGCTATACTTTCTTCCTTGTTCTCTTTCACCCAAGACAAGGTGGATGATCTGGCCAATCAGATATTTCCTACCTTTCTCTCCTTTGTTCTTTATTCTTTATCCTATAAAAGTTTTCTGCCTTTGGCCCCATTTTGCAATTCTCTGAATGGAGACTGTTCACTCCTGAAGTGTTAAATAAAAGTCTGTATCACTGACAACTGTCTTCTTTTTTTTAAGATTTTATTTATTCATTTCAGAGAGATACAGAGCACGAGCAGTGGGGAGAGAAGCAGAGAGAGAGAGAAGCAGACTCCCGCTGAGCAGGGAGCCCAACATGGGGCTCGATCCCAAGACCTGGAGACCATGACCTGAGCCGAAGGCAGGCACTTAACCATCTGAGCCACGCAGGCACCCCGAAAATTGTCTTCTTTTAACAGGCAAAATGGTTTGAATATCAATGGTTTCAACATCTACACACAAACTTTCCTTTTGTTTCTTCCTAAGGTCCAACTCAGCTGGTCTCAATAAGGATTACCACATAAAACTTATATACAAAACTGTGTGCATTCTACTTTATAAGCAGATTTAAGAATTTTTTTTTTTTTAAGATTTTATTTATTTATTTGAGAGAGAGAGAATGAGAGATAGCACGAGAGGGAAGAGGGTCAGAGGGAGAAGCAGACTCCCTGCCGAGCAGGGAGCCCGATGTGGGACTTGATCCCGGGACTCCAGGATCATGACCTGAGCCGAAGGCAGTTGCTTAACCGACTGAGCCACCCAGGCGCCCTGATTTAAGAATTTTTAAGGGCAATTTTAATGTATATGACTTACCATTTTCAAATTTAAAAATCTAATCCTAAGTAATAATCAACTTTACTATAAAAATCTTAACCTGGATGTATACAAACTGATATGTAGCATGTGTCCTAGGCCAAATCCTACAGAAAACACGTAGAGTAGGAAAAGTGTCTAGGATACCATCCAGCTTTTTTCTTTTGGTTGGAATTAGGAAGCCAAGAGACCTCACACAATGCATTAATACTCCTAAAGCTACACCTTATTTTCTTTCTTCAACCTCCCCATTCCAGTTACTGACCACGATTGAGAAGTATGGAATTAGAACCTTCAACAGTATTAGCTAAAAGAAATCAAGGGAAATAACTTGACAGAGTAGAGTCAAACTGAAAACAAGATTTGTAAACGGAACAGACAGGTTAGTGCCTAATAACTGGGCTTAGAGTTGAGAGCTTTAAGGTAAACTCCCTATAAGGAAATGAGCTAAACTGAAGGAGCCAAGGACACTAGGATACACACTCCCCCCCCACTGCCCCCCCCACACACAATCAAAATTTGTGCCTTAAGGAAAAAAAAAAAAAAAACTCTCTTGTTCCTACCACAATCCACTTAGCTCAAGTAGTATCAACGTTTAATCTAAGTACATTCTAATACTGAGAAAGGGTCCATAGAACTTTGTAGAAGTCACATCCAGAACATGTTAATACTTCTAACTACAAACATTCTAGGCAGAAACCTGATTACTGGTGGTCCCCAAATAAAATTTTACATTCCAAAAGTTCCTTTACAATCACTTTTGGGAAATTAACAACGTATTTTCCTACAGAAATACTATTATAAATAGTAGTTACGTGCTCATGGTAACCCACAAGTTTATTCAATTCATAATAAACTTTAAATAGAGTACTCTTAATACAAAGAGTTTAACAACCCGCGGCAATGTTTCCATGGGAAAATGCTTTCAGAGTTCCATTTTAACCCACCAGAAACATCTCTTCCCCAAGCAGGACAACCTGGACTGTTCCTCTCCTCCCTACTCTCGCCCGCCTGAAATTACCTCCTCCAAGCACAGAGCTGTGTGCTGACGTAGGCCCTGGGGGAAGAAGTCGAGTTGTACTATATGCACAGGACTCACCTTAGCTAGAAGAAACAACTACAGTTGTTTCCTGCCCACGGACCCCAAGTCCTCCTCCCCAGCACCCGAGTCACCCACTTCCTTTCCTCCTTGCCCCAAGGAGTTCTCTGCATGTACAGACGTGTCCACACACACACACACACACACACACACACACAAATTTCTGAAAGCAGCCTGATGCAGCAGAGAAACTGTGACCATGCAGTCAGACAAAGACTGCTCCAGTCTAACTGCGCAGCCTCCCCTGAACCTCAGCTTCCTTTCTGTGAATGTTTTTGGTCACACCTCCATCATGGGGCTGGGTACTACTCTCCTCTTGCTGCTGTAACAAGTTACTACAAATTTAGTGGCTTAACACAACACAAACATATCCTCTTCTAGTTCTGGAGCTCCAAGGTCCAGAGCCAGTGCCACTAGGCTGAAATGAGGGGGAGGCAGGGCTGGTTCCTTCTCAACGTTCTAAGGAAGAATCCCTTGCTTTGCTTCTTCCATCTTGGAGGGTGGCTGCCTCATTCCTTGGCTGGTAGCCCCCCATGACAATGCCCTTCCTCCCTCGGCTTCCATCATCACCCGGCCTTCTCTTTTTCCACTCTGACTCTCTTACCTCCACCTTATAAGGACCCTGTGATTGGACAGGACCCACCTGGATCATGCTGGATCATCTTCCCATCACAAGATCCTTAAGTTAATCACATATGCAAAGTCCCTTCTGCCATGTAACGTGACATGTTCCCATGCTCCGGGGACTGGCACACAGACATCTTGGGGAATGGGGTGGAAAGGAGCAAATTCATTCTGTCTACCACAGGCTGTGATGAGGATTAAATGAAATAATATATGAGTAAGGCATCAAGTACAGGGCTTGATACATTCAATAAAGTTAGCTGCTGTTCCCTGTTACTCACTGGCCGCCTTCCTACTGAGAATACCTATCCTCCCTCCCCTGCCATTTCCTTACTTGCCCACAGCAATAAAAAGAAAAAAATAGGGATTAAAATGTGCCACTTCATTAGTTCACCCGGACCAGCTATAAGGTCACAAGTGGGATATAATCTGGGAGTTTCTATAGGTATCTCTACCTTTCAAAGGATAAATGGACTAAAAGAACCACAGGCATTTCAAAATACTAACTGCACTGAAAAAAAACCCAGACTCTTCCCAGAGCTCACAGCTCTGCACAATCCAGCCCCTGTCTTGCACTTCACCTTCACCTCCTACCTTCCCATTCTGGCTCGAATCCCCCAAGCCACACAGCAGACTTCCTTCCATTTCTAGAACTCTGAGTTTTTGCATTTACAGTACACTTCTCATCATTCAACACTCTGCAAATGTCACCTCCTCCAAGGGGCCTTCTCTGGGCACCCTCACCAAAGCAATACCGCCCTCCCCTGGCTCTCGTGTCATCCTATCCTTTCCTTCACTTGTCACTATCTGAAATTATCTTACTTATTGTTTACATGGTTACTGTCTATCCCCCCACTAGAAGATTTCACGAGGATAGAAGTCTGGTCAATCTTCTCCTCACTGTATCCCCAGTACTGTTCCTGACCTTCAGTATTAAATCATTCATTCAGCAAATACTGTGCGAGGGCCTGCTCAGGGTACTAGAGATCCAGAAATAAACACAAAGACAAGGTTCTTGCTCTCAGGGGAATGGGAATTAGACAGTAAGAATGCAGCTATCCTTCCTCTCTCCCTCTTCTTCCCTCTTGCTTCCAGATTCAGGGCCTCCACATGTAGCTATGTAGCACATACCCCAAAGAACATTAATGTCCATAGCAGTACAAGCCCCGCCAGACTCATCCTATGCACAGTCATACACAGTGGCCTGTTCCAACTGGACCCTCGAGAGGCACTGGAACAAACTACAAAGCAAACTTAGCCTGGAGTAGAGAAATCTGTCTACAGCTCCCATCAACCAAAGGGAGAAACATAAGAGGTTGGGAAATGTTCAGCTACAGCAGAACGGAAGTGATTCTCTCTCTTTTCTAAAGCACTGCTATGGCCCCTGTTACAAGAACCCTTTAAAGAGGGGTATTGCCAAGAAAAGGTCGTGTAGGATTTAAATCGGGCTTATGTCAAGTTTTGGCACAGTTGGGGCAGAGATTCTCCAGAGAGAAAATGAAGAGCTGTGTGCACATCTGGCCAGTAGATCTCCTGGAAACAAGACCTCGGGGCCCTGGTGCAGCTGAGGGAAGGAAAGGGCCAGCAAGCCAGCGTCCTGTGCTGCCGGCAGCAGTGGTCCCAGGAGCTTGCTGGGCTGGCGCCCGGAGACTCTAGGATTGTTGCTCCTGGCAGCCAGCACCGCCCTAAAGCTTGCTGTGAAGGCCTGACTCTGAGCAGCCAGGGCAGTCTTCCAAAGGCGCCTGGCGGCTGGCAGCAATTTCAGAAAGGAAAGGAAAAAGGGCAGCAGGAGGCGGGAGATATGTTAAAAAGAATTTGTTTCAGCGAAAAAAAAAAAAACACTTTCATTTTCTTCTCATTATCAGTATGAAATATAGACGTTTCCAAGCAAATGTAAATGGGAGGGGGAAAAAATATGAAAGACTAAACCTCCCCATAAAGGGTTAAATTATTCAATTAAGAAAAGATACCTGAGTCTTGGAATTATGGATGTTTCCCTTTCTTTGTTATATTTTCATAATGAATTTATATGGCTTTTATCATCAGAGAAAATAAAGCTATTTTTCACTTAAGGGGGGGAAAACAGGCTGTAAAAAAAATGAGCAGAGCATGAGCCATCAACAAAAACTTCATGGATATTTTCTCACCCAAAAGCAGAACAAGAGAAACTCTAAACTTGTGAGAAAACAGTATTTGAGAAAATGGTGACGTTTGTTAAATACGTCATTTGAAAATAGAAGAGATGTTCTCAAATTTCTTAGCGCAGCAATCATTTCAGTTTCTTCCAGTAGCTCCACTAGCAGAGAATCATACCACTCAGTTTTTAACCACATGAGCACTCAGTTTTTAACCACACGGTGTGACTGTCACAAATAGAGCAGTCATAAATGCAGAAGAATTCTGTGAGGAATACCACGTATATGAGATTTTTGTGCCACTATCTCATAAAACACATCTAACTGAATACCCCAGAGCGGGTGCACTCTGGTTCACATGATTTTTGAAACGTCTCGTATTTCCTAATGTCACGGGAGGAGTGGGGAAGAGCCTGGATGGCTCCGTCTGTTAAGCGGCCAACTCTTGATTTCGGCTCCTGGTCTCCTGCCCCGCCCCATGTCCAGCTCTGTGTTCAACGGGGAGTCTGCTTGAGATTCTCTCTCTCCCTGTACCTCTGCCCCTGCCCCCGGCATACGCACACACGCACGCTCTCTCACTCTCTCTCTCAAAAATAAAAACAAATCTTTCCTAATGTCAGGAAGGACACCATAGTCTTCTAATTTTATTCATGTAAGAAAATAGACTATTCTTAAAAGTCTACAGGTGTCTACTAGCTTGTCCACTGGTAAAAGGTAGATAAATAACAGCAACAATACCAGGATGGAAGTGTCACGTGGAGCCCAGCACAGTGACTGGCACAGAGACGTAGTTAGTAGTTGTTAGCTGTCAATGCATGGACACTGGAGGTCCACATCTCTTACCCAGATCCCCTGGAGAGAGGTGAACTTCAGGATTCAGACTCTTTGAAGAGTTCCAAAGAATAACATGGTACACATACATTCCACATTTTATTTAACCTCCTCTAAATCTGGGGCAGCCCCCCGTATTCAAATACATTACTATTTCTATGGCAAAATTTGTGAATATGCACACCAAATGGATTTAAAAAACTACTGAAAGATATTGGTTCGGATCAGGTTTTGCCACCAAACTGAATACAAAAAAAAAAGTTTATTTCCAGAACTTTCTGTGATACCAATACTACAGACATGGGTTATGAACCTGTACTAGTAGCAGTATTACTAGTTACATCATCCCTCAGAGTGTTCTCCCATGTGCAGATCTCTTTTTTTTCCTATGTTGAGGAAAATACGCTCTCAAACTGTTTAGAAGAGCAACATTATTTCAATTAAAATTTGAACAGTTTAAAGATTTTAGATAATCAAGCTAAATGCTGGGGAATAATAAACATCAAATTCAGTGGTTCACTTCTGAGGGGGAAACAGTGACACAATCAGGGGCTCCAACTATGGAGATGTTTTACTTTTTAAGCTGGGTGATAGGTCTCTAGAGATTTGGTGCCTTGGTTAAGACATTCAGAAAGACAAAGAGTATTTCATAATAATTTTTTTTAAATAAACCTAAATTACTTATTGAACATCTTCAACAGATATAAGAACTTGTGACTTAAAGGACTTGGCCTAGGCTCACATTCTGGAATTCCGGCAGCTTGTCATCAAACTGGCAGAAATCCTTTGAAAGGATCTTTCCTCAATGGCAGTGGCAAGAAATCAAGTTCCCTGGCCTCAGAAATGACATTCCATCTGAATGTACAATCTGTACTTAGCCTGCATGACCTGAATTACCATTAATTTAGAGCTTCAGACAGGTAAGCCCACAACTGACTGACCACAGAGTTGCTCTCGGCAAACCAACTGAGGTCCATTCACTGTAGTTTCTGCTGTAGCCAAAACTGACTCTATTCTTACTACCTCAGAGATGACCAGCGAATGCGATTAGGGAGAGAGAATACGGAGAGACCGTAATTCAACAGAAAAGCAAAAAAAGGGTTTTGAAGGGAATATCTAATTGGCATTATCTGCTCAAGTAAATCCCAATTTTGTTCTCTTTAAGTAGTCTCGAGCACATTTATATTTTCCAAGGGCAGAAGTCTTTCCAGCATCCTATTCTTTTTTTTTTTTTCAGAGTTTTCACAATGTAGTATCTCCTTAAGTTTTCTCAATGGCCTTACAAAGTAGGTGAGCAAATTTACCCCTATTTGACAAAGAGGAAACAAAACTTGTTTGTAGTCAAACAATTGTCCTGTCATCCCAAATATAAACAACAGTAGAAGTGGGACTAAAACATAGGTAAACCGTTCCTTAGTAAATTCAAATATGTCTTACTACAATAAGCCACACTCTAGACCGATGTAACATCTCCCCAGGCAGGGATAAGGTAAAAAAAAAAAAAAAAAAAAAAAAAGGCTGTTTGTTGTGGTTTCTTTCACTTAAAAGCAAACAAAAAAACCCAAGTTAATGGTTCACACTTTCATTACATAACATTCTAAGGATGCATTTTCTATAACATAGGGACAAAACAGTTCAAAATCTCTTCTCTCCATTTCATTCTCCCCACATAGCCTAAAAGAAAGTAGAATTTCCTGTGTGTTTTGAGGAAGAGAGAGTGATGTCATTCCTTTTTAGCCTAACTGACAAATGATCGGGTTTTAACAAGAGATTACATTCAACCCCCATCAAGAGTAAATAGACAAAAGTGCCTACTGTAAACCAAGAACTAAACAATTTGATCAAAAGACACAAATTCACCCTTACCAGGAACATGCTGTCTCATTTATAAAACAGGAGAGACATCATGTAATAATTTTCATTTTTTAGAAGTATAAAACAAATATTTCCAGGAAGCATGAGGAGAGAGGAGTTCCATTTTGTATTTTGGAAACTTCACGTCTAGAATACTGAATGAAGTGGAGAAAAAAGAACGTATCAGGACATCTGACATCTGTAAGCGCAATATGACTGGGCAGGACAGCCTAAGCAATGGAAAGGAACAAACATCTGTGTCACCACTGCATACAAGAAGCTGTGATCTGTGCTCTAAATACGTCACCTCCTACACTTGTCATAAAAAACCTCCAAATAGGAACAGAAATGAAATTAAAATATCCGAATGGTAAAACCCTGTGCACCAGGGTGTTTTAGAAAGACAATATACCTGTAACCGCTGAAACACTCCAGATCGCAAGTTTCCAAAGCCATAGTGGTACTGAGGATTCAGAGCACCTTCAGATGCGTCTTCATAGGGGGACTGTTCAATTTCCCAGTCGAATTCTCCATCTTCATCTTCTACTCCTCCCTCAGAAACCTCAGATGCACCTGAATGTGTTAAATATTAATATGTTCAAGTACTGGATTCCCTAGATACAATTCGGGGGAAAAAAAAGTATAGAGAAAAAATGCCTGCCCACGTGTACCAAAAGGGTTGTGTAAGAATATGCGGAGCCCCGCTATTTTTAATAGCCAAAAAAAAAGAAAAAAAATAGAACCCAAAGGCCCATTGATAGTAAGATGCAAAAATGACAAATGCAATGAAAGCAAGCAAATAAACCTCAGCTATAGATGGATAAATCTCACAAAAATATGAAGTGAAAGAAACCAGACAAAAAAGAACACATACCGTCTGAATTATAGACACAATTCAAAAGCAGGCAAAACCGAAGGTAGTGGCAACCTTGAGAAGAGGGAGGGAGAAGTGACCAGGAGGAGGCTCAGGGTAGGATTCAAGGGTATTGGAAATGTTCCATTTCTTGACCTAGGTGGTGTTCATTTTATGTAACTCACTGAATTATAAACTTCTGATCTAAGCTCGAGAGGCCATGATTTTGCAAAACACTGAGATGCTGTTTTGACTGGTCCAAAAACATGACTGACATACTGGTTCAATAAAGTTCTTTTTGTCTTTAAATTATATGTCACCAAATAACCTATTTTTGCATTTTCATGTGATGTCCTTACCTTGTCAGTGAAGGATTTTCCTCCAATTTCCTATCTGCTATGTCCCTTTTCCCCTAGAAACACACAGCATTCCAAATATTCTATTTATCTTTATTTCCTCTTAACTGCAATAAACATACCTATTTCTTCCACAAGTGGTTTTGCAGTCCTGGATTTTCTTGGTGCCAGAAGAGCAGTTAACATGTTCAGCCCCTCAAAATGCTGGCCAGGAGTTTCTTTGGGCAATCGAATGGTAAATATTCCTTAAAAATAAATTTATTTTATACTTAGCTCTATTAAAAAATGCAAAGACTTCACAAATATACCCAAGAAATATGTATCTTGGTAAGTTATAATTCTATTTCATAGGGCTCCAAAATTATGCCCTTATGAATAAAAACCAGGATAGTAAAAGGCTCAAATAGGGTTTTTCAGAATCACTGATTCAGCTGTCACCTCTAATTAATCTGCTAAAGCTACAGAATGCTTTAGTCTTACACAGTATCCCTTTAACCTACTGATAATATTAAAAGTCCATGTCAAAACCTCTAAAACTCAATGGACTGAGAAGGTAGTAGCTTAGAATTAGCCCATACCCACTTGTAAGATTTACTTCTGGACTAGAAGGGAAAAAAAATCAGGGTATCTGATCCAATGAATAGCAGCAGTTTCAAAAACACACAAAATCTTAAAGCAATTATAGCTTAATAAAGTTCTCTGAGATCTCCAGAGACATATCTCCGAAGTCTAAGGTATACTCAAATTCTATCTATGTACTTCTTTTCTTTCCCTGATTGGGCTTATCAACTTCATCCAGGCTCCCCCCATGAACTTCCATTATTTACTACTCTGAATTTTAAAACATTTTACCTTTTCATTGTACTTAACCATACTCCAATACAGCTGACCCTTGAACAATATGGGACTTAGGGCCTGTCCCTCTGTACAGTCAAAAATCTGTATATAACCTGACTCCCCAAAAACTTAACATCTAATAGCCTACTGTTAACTGGAAGCCTTATCAATAACACAAACAGTTAACACATATTTTGTATGCTGTATGTATTACATACTATGCTTTTATTATAATAAAGAGAAAAGATGAGATACCACCTCACACCTGTCAGAATGGCTAAAATTAACCACTCAGGAAACGGCAGATGTTGGCGAGGATGCGGAGAAAGGGGAACCCTTCTACACTGTTGGTGGGAATGCAAGCTGGTGCAGCCACTCTGGAAAACAGTATGGAGGTTCCTCAAAAAGTTAAAAATAGAGCTACCCTACGACCCAGCAACTGCACTACTAGGTATTTACCCAAAAGATACAAATGTAGTGATTTGAAGGGGCACCTGCATGCCAATGTTTATAGCAGCAATGTCCACAATAGCCAAACTGTGGAAAGAGCCAAGATGTCCATCAAAGATGAATGGATAAAGAAGATGTGGTATATATATATGCAATGGAATATTACTCAGACATCAAAAAAATCAAATCTTACTATTTGCAACGACCTGGATGGAACTAGAGGGTATTATGCTAAGTGAGATAAGTCAATCAGAGAAAGACAATGATCATATGGTTTCACTCATATGTGGAATTTAAGAAACAAAACAGAGAAGCATAGGGGAAGGGAGAAAAAATAAAATAAGACAAAAACAGAGAGGGAGACAAACCATAAGAGACTCTTACCCATAGGAAACAAACTGAGGGTTGCTGGAGGGGAGGTGGGTGATGGGATAGGGTAACTGGATGATGGGCATTAAGGAGGGAACATGATGTAATGAGCACTGGATGTTATATGCAACTGACAAATCACTGAACTCTACATCTGAAACTAACGATACACTATATGTTAAGTGAATTTAAATAAAATTTAAAAATAATAAAGAAAAGATAATGCTATTAAGAAAATCCTAAGAGAAAACACATTTACAGTATGGTACTATATTTATTGAAAAAAATCTGCATATAAGTGGACCTGCATAGTTCAAACCCATGTTATTTAGGGGTCAAGTGTATATCAAATACAACTCAGCCCAAATACTTCCATGTATACAACCTTCCTAAACCCCTGGGTACTTTTAAAATTTAATAAATTTGTTTCAATATGCAACTTACCTGCAATTAAAAGCAGATTTACTACCTAGAAAGGCAGTTTCATTATATTTCATTATCACATTAATCACTGTGTTATGGGTTATAACTTTGTCATTTAACTCTTTCAAGCCATCCTTCCTCCCTTACCCTAGTTTACTGACGTCAATAAATATTCACTTGATTAATTACTCAAGAGTATACGAGGTGTTCTTATTCCAGATCCATGGATAAAGGAAAATCTAGTGACTTCTCCAAAAGCAAAATAAATGATTTCAAGGCTAGCTGAAATGAAGTAAGAGCTTAGCAATCATGAAAAGAAACTTCAGTCGGCTTTTAAATGCCACCTTTGGACAGTTTCTGTCCCACATACATGTTATTAGATTTTAAGTTTGAAAAGCACACAAGAAAAATTCCATTCAGAGCTTAAAAATCACCCACATCTTTGGTAATCAATCACCTCACATAATCTGACTTTTAAATGCTTACTAAAAGTAGTGGAATGGGGCGCCTGGGTGGCTCAGTCTATTAAGCCTCTGCCTTCAGCTCGGGTCATGATCTCAGGGTCCTGGGATCAAGCCCCGCATCCAGCTCCCTGCTCAGTGGGGAGCCTGCTTCTCCCTCTGCCCCTCCTCCTGCTTGTGCTCTCTCTCTCTCTGACAAATAAACAAATAAAATACTTAAAAAAAATAAAATAAAATAAAATAAAATAGGGGAAGTAGAAAATAAACTTAAGAAACAGAGTATTTAAGTAACTTTTAAAAATACTGTGAAGTACTTTAAAGGACTGAGAAAATTGTACCTGTTAAGAAATCCATGAATAATAGGCATTGGGCTTGTTAAGAAACAATAAAGTGTGACCAGGACAGACTGTATCTGCAAAACATCTAAAGGTCGCCATCATATCTTGAAGGACTATGACATAGTTATTCTAACAAGAAGAATCCAGAGAAAAAACTAACAAAATTCCAAAAGCAATACCTTTATCTGTATCATAGGATCCTTGTTCGTTTCCATTTTCCACAACCCTTCCAGGAAGGGTTAATCTGCAGATTTAAATTAAGATTTCATTAAGTCCTTAAAGCACAAAGTATAAGTAACCATCAGTGATAGTATACATTAACCACTGAAATCTATCAACCATTTTAGAAGGCAATTCTCCTCAGCATTTCTTTAACATTTTACAAACTAAATAACTTACATCTCTCCCCTAGCTGAGAAACAGGAATCACAGATGACTCATCATTCTGTTTGAAACTCCCTAGTCACCAATAAAAGCAATACTGAAAAAAAAGTGATACTTAAGAAAAAGCCACAATAAGTATTAGTAATCGCTATTGTTACAGTACTTTCATCTTCCTAATGAAAAGAGACTTATTAACATAAATGTGCCTGACAAAGCAGGGGCTCAAAAAAGGCGTGCTAATTGCCTCCTCCCCGCCCCATAAAAAGAATTTTAAAAATGGAAAACAATAAACAAGGCCAACTGTTTATTTTGGACAAACTACTACTTAAAAAAAAAAAAAGCAAAAGTGTTTTTCTCAAGTCTCATTATTACTATACAGAGATTTCCCCTTCTTTCATACTAAAGGAAATGAACTGATTTCCCTGTTTCCAGTTTTACTTTGGTTCAGTCAGTCTTCCACTGAGGCCCCAAAAGAATTTTTCTAAAAAAGAAACCAGACCATCACTTTTCTTTTGAAAAAACTTCTATGGCTGCCTGACACCAAGTATATAAACTCATTGGTACCACCTATCAGACCAGCTCCTGTTCCATTCCAAACTTAAATGTGAGGCTCCTTTCCTCCTATAACCCCCTCCCCTCTGCTTCCTATTCTGTCGTCGTCATCATCATCATCATCATCATCACCATCACCATCAAAACTTGACAGGTCCCAAAGACCCAGGGCTTCATAACCTAGTTACCTTTGATCTCAAAAGCCTCCCGGAGCTACAGTGCATTTCCAAACCAAAATCCCTCTAAGCCTAACAGGAGTCAGTTTAATGCATAAAGTTGCTCGTTATAATGATGACAAACATTAACTTTACTATCAGAATCTGAATTGAGTCCCAGCTCTGCCATTTTCCACCTCTGCAACTTTCTTTGTACAAGTTAATCAGCTTCAAAGCTCCTATTCCTCATCCGTAAAAAGGAATAAATAACAGACTCTTCCCCAGGGTTACTGTGAGAAGGAAAGGATAATGCAAAGGGCTCAGTGGCTGGTGAAGTAGATAAGTCCCAAAGATGTAAGCTATTAATACCAACTTTCTTTTCCTAAACTCTTTGTAAGTATAGAGATAAATTCTTACGCATAAGAGTGAAATCCTATTTGTTCACAGATCTGCCACCCAAATCCTCAAGGAGATGAGCGAGGTTTTATTCACCTCTGGTATACTGTAGTGAACTGTATTTTCAAAGATGGCCTGTCTCACATCACTCCTCCCAACTGTGGGGTCTATGTTCTCTCCCCTTATAACTGGGTGAGCTTGCAAGTGTCCATCAATAAATGAATGGATAAAGAAGATGTGGTGTGTATATATACAGTGGAATATTACTCAGCCACAGAAAAGAATGAAATCCTGCCACATGCAACAACATGGATGGATCTAGAGTATTATGCTAAGTGAAGTCAGAGAAAGACAAATAGCATATTTCACTCATATGTAGAATTTAAGAAACATAACAAAGAAGGGGGGAAAAGAGACAAATCAAAGAACAGACGTTTTTTTAAGATTTATTTATTTGAGAGAGAGAGCACAAGCGAGAGAGCAAGAGCAAGGTGTGGCAGAGGGAGACAGAGACAAGCGGACTCCCCAAAGAGCAGGGAGCCAGATGCAGGACTTGATTCCAGAACCCTGAGAGCACGATCTGAGCCCAAATCAAGAGCTGGCCGACCAACGGACTGAGCCACCCAGGCGCCCCTAAAGAACAGACTCTTAACTACAGAGAACAAACTGATGGTTACCAGAGGGGAGGTGGGTGGGGGGGATGGATGACATAGGTGATGGGGATTAAAGAGTACATTTATCATGATGAGCACTAAGTAATGTACGGAATTGGTGAATCACATATACTGTAAACCTGAAATTAATATAACACTATATATTAAATATACTGGAATTAAAATAAAAATTAATTAGTTTTTTAAAAAAATTGAGTGGCCTTGTGTAACCTGTTTTAAGCAATACAATAAAGTAGAAGTGACCGTATGATTTCTGAGGTTAGGTCATAAAAGGTGATATGAACCTGCCTTTCCCCCAGGAATATCTGGCTTTGAAACCTTCAGCTCCACCTGTGATTCCCAAAGGAATCACAACTAGAACATGCAAAGACACCACATCGGGCGGTCCTGAGAGTACACGAAAAGAGACGCCCTCCCCCAGCCACTCCACTATATGATGGCCTGTCTCACATCACTCCTCCCAGCCACCATATGACTACAAGTGATTTAAAGATCTCAAGCCAGAACAGCCCAGCCCAGCCCTTACCAAATTCCCAACACACAACCAGGACGAGGGAGTTAAATAATTGTTGTTTTATAACATTAAGTTCGATTGGTTATGCAGCAACAGATAACTGGAACAGAAGGCCCTTCTAATAAATATCTACTGTTTATTGAACAACTGATTGCCTGGGCAATCACCAGGCATGGTAATAAAAACTATGCATGTATGATCTCAATCCTCACATCAACTCTTCAGAATCCCTAATATCAGTCCCATTTTACAAATTAGGAAACTGAGACTGAATAACTTGCCGTAAGTCCCAGAACTATTAAGTGTGCTGAGACCCAGGTGTGCCCAACGACCAAGCCCCTGCTACCCAAGGAATGGATGAGTCCGTGTGAAGAATACTCTAAATTGTTTCACACATAACCTCTTATCTGGTCTTCATCAAAACTCCCAAAATTAAGCAAAGTGGTTTTTACTTTGAAATTTCTGTTACTGTTTTTTTTATTTTACATTCCTATCTCATTTAAGATCTTTTCTCTGGGCTCTGATCCCTCATCTGTAACATTAACAGAAACTACTTTGTAGTACTGTCCTAAAATCAAATGAGATAATCCACATAAAGTATAAACCTGAAGTAAAAATTCAGTAAATGTTCGCTACCACCCACACCATCTTCCTCCCACTCTTCCTGTCTTGCCTTAAATATCACCTTCTTCAGAAAGTCTTTCTCAGGCCATCTTACGTTTAAACAGGCTCCCTTTTATTTTCTATCAGTCCACTTTACTCCCCTTCAGAGCACTTACCACAACTGTAGTTATATGTTTACTTGTTCATTTATTGTTCTCTCCCCACTAGAATGTAAACTACAGGAGACATCACCACATCCCCGATACCAAAAACCCAGCCCGATACAAATAAAGTAAAAAAAAAATGATTTAAAAAAATAGCAAAGTGCAGTATATGCAAGTAGGTGCATTAAGTCAGGGCCTAATGGAAATCTGAGTAAAACTGGTCCAGGCCCAGCGAAGGAACCAGCTTGACTCAAGAGGCAGCTTTTATTAGGAAAGCACATGGACAACCACCACAATTAAAGGGCAAAATGACAGAAGTAGCAGACGAGGAAAAGGTAGGAGAACGAGGCTAATTTGGTGTCAACGAGTCAAAGGAAGGAGGGACTATCAAGAAGTAGGGAGCGGTCAGCCAAGAGGTCGACACAACTCTAAAAAGAACGGGGAATGAGAAAAGTCAAACGGAGGGGTCGGCTGGGAAGTCAGTGCGCACCGTCCCAGGGCAGCGGAGAGGCTGGGAGAACTACCGCAGGACGAAAACAACAGAAAAAAGGTACGGGAACCAGGCTGACGGGACAGAAACTGCAAAGGTTACAAGGTTCCAAACGCCACGTTTTACAGGGGTTCGAAATCTCTTTACGTTGGGGATTTAACAAAGTTTAACACGGAAACGAGCTTCCTGCAGCATCTGGAACGCAGGCCTGTCGAGGTCGCTTCCTCAACACCAAAAGCACCTGCGGCCATCTCGGAAAAAGGCAATCGTTAAATCGAGAAGTGCTCCCTCGCTCTTTCCTCCTTCCTCGGTAAGCAGGTATCTAATGAATAAGTGGAAAATGAATGAACCAATCAACTAATCAATCCCCTAAATTCGCTCTTTCCAAGGCCGGACAGCGGGAACTCGCCTGAGAAAGTACGGCTTGGCGTAGAACTTGAAGTCGACCCCCTCGAAATAAACGTCGAACTCAGAGACCCGGGCGTAGGGCACGCGGATGGCGACGGTCAGGAAGTCGGGGTCCTGGCTGAGGTCGAACGCGGGGGTCAGCATGGCTGCGCTGGACTGGGGTGCCCGAGCCGCTCACACTCACCGCCGCCGCGGTCCCGCCACTCAAACTCTACAGCAAGTCCCCACGCGCCGGGACCCAGCCGGCTAGCCAGGGCGCTTCCGGCTCGAGACGGAAGTGCTCCTGCGTGGGGCAGGAAGTCCCGCCCCACGGCGATCTCCATGGAGACTAGACGCTGTTAGTGGGGAAAGGGCGTGGAGCGTGGGACTCCGACCACAGAAATTGAACCAAGGGCATAACTTGGAAAAACCCGGACCAGAACCCTCTTTAGACCCATTAAGCCTGTTTAGAGATCCTAAGAGATGATTTTTAACAAGCATTGGCTTTGCAGGTAGAAAACCTGCGTTGGAATCCCTTCTCGGCCACCTCTCAGCTGGGAAAATTACAAAAATCTATGTTTCAGATAACTCTTCTTTAAAATGACAATAATACGGGGCGCCTGGGAGGCTCAGTTGGTTAAGCGACTGCCTTCGGCTCAGGTCATGATCCCGGAGTCCCGGGACCAAGTCCCGCATAGGGCTTCTTGCTCAGCGAGGAGCCTGCTTCTCCCTCTGACCCAACCCCCTCTCATGTACTCTCTCTCTCTCTCTTCCCCCCCCATTCTCGCTCTCTCAAATAAATAAATAAATCTTAAAATAAAATAAAATGACAATAATACTAGCCCCATAGAGATGTGAAGATAACATGAAATGCAAGTAAAGCTCTAACAATGTACCTGGCAAGTTGTCAACGCTCCATGTGTGGAAGCAGTCACCGCAGCGTCGTTACTGTGGTTTTCCTTAGTTCTCACCTGCCTTGTCACAAATCCCCTTTCTCCCTCCCCCCCCGTCTTTCTCTGCCTTTTTCTCTTCCCCTTCCTTTCCCTCTCCCTCTCTTTTTCTGTTACTTTCTCTCCCCTCCCGAATTCCTTATTTGAGTATTCTCATTTACAGAGCGTCCAGTCCACTAACCTCATTTAATCTGCACTATGAACTCCGAAGAAGACGACTCAAGAGAGGTTAAGTATTATATCTTATAATCATGCATCTTAAAATTATCAGAACCCAGAACGTCTGATCTTTAAACTCCGTTAGCGCCTGCATTGACAAATTGCCGTCCCTCTGTACCCCTTCTTGCCTTTTCTCACATTTCTCCATACACTTTAGTCTATGCTCCTCAGATTCTCCCAGTGCCGGTCCCACTCATCTCCCTCTTTCCCTACATATTCCCTTAGCCTTCCTTCCTCTCATTGTGTCCCCTGTTACTCCACCAGAAACTAGAGTAATCAGGAAATACTATTTACCTCCTGGTTTTAAATGTCAATGGAAAAGTGGTGAGAGTTATCTCTGGGGTTGTGAGTGGACCAGATCACTTCAAAAGCCTTTTTGACCTCCAATTTTTATGAATCTTGAAAATTAGTTAGGACTTGGGCAAACATCAGCAGGAGCAAGTAAAACAAAAATTTCAAAATAAAAAGCAATCTGCTTAACTCTGGGAGCTCTGATAAACACACAATAAGAGGTTATGTGTGAAACAATTGAAAGAGTACTCTTTAAACGTTCATCTATTTCCTGGGTAGCAGAAGGATTAATTGAATTAATTGAATGGTTGCTATGTGCCGGCACTGTGCCAAATCCTTTATAATGATTTCCTTTTTCCCTCCTGACAGCTCTTTGAAGTAGGCATTCTCTATCCCCAGGATTGCACAGGAGCACACAGCTGTGAATTGTGCAATGGGAATTGAAACCGAACTGAGTCTGATTCCTGGGCCCAGGCTCTAAAATACTATAGAGTTCACTCCTTCCAATATTACCACCTACCCAACTGTTCCACATTCTGAGTCCAAGCCATCCTGCTTTAGACCGTACTGAGCCTTACAAATAATAGGTGTTCAATATTGAAAATGAATTGGTGCAAACTTGGAATTAGCAAAGCTCTCAAGAGGTCCCTTGAGATATGCCTTTGGATGGATCATTTCAAATTAGCTTGTCTAGAAGGAATCTTTATTTCTACCAGGGGACCTCATTCCTGTAGTCACAAGCATTAATATTTTTAAATTATTAATGCCAAAGAAATAACTGAGACTGAAGCTATGCCATCCATGAGGATACTGTAAGGGAAAGCACTTTACAAAGTAGAGCTGTGTACTTCCTAGATATTTTACTCTGTATTTGGCCACACGCACACACACAGGATTGCACTACAGATAAACAGACTATAGGTTCACTGCTGCTATTTGTAAGAAACATACATTGCATCTGCTATATCACAGAATATTGACCATTGCAACTATATAACAGGGATCTGTTGTTTTATTTTAGGCAATACTTCATTTTATTTTTGTGTTTCTAATTAGTGGCAAATTACACAAGTTAAATACATTTTCTTTTTAAGAAAACAGAATATTACAGATAAGTTTCCCTCGACTGCCATCTAACTTTTGTCCCCTTTTCCACTTCCCCAAAGTTAATCCCTCTAGATACACTTGCATACGTTTTTGATTTAACATATTAATAATAGCTATTTTATTTTTTATTTAAAGTCAATTAATTAACATATAAGGTATTATTAGTTTCAGAGGAACATTTTATATTTCTATATACATTTCTAGGTACCCTGTTACTTTACGTCTGTGTGTGCATGAGCACATTATCACACTATAGATGTAAATCTACAACATTATTTTATTTTTTTACTTTGGTAATTTTTTAGACCTATGTATATTGACTCATGGATCATGTTGAGTTGAGTCAGTTGAGTTTCATGTCTAGATATAGACATTGCTTGAAAATACATTATTTCAACATTTCATGTTAACTCTGTTGTAGAGGAAAATCAAACAGGAATGAATTTTTTCATCATTTTTTGAGCCATTCAAAGGCTACGGTATTTGTTTTCATTTTTCTTTTTCCTTCAGGCTTATTTTTGGATGCCCTTTCAGTGTTTTAAAAATAGTTTTTTCCTTGGCCACCTTATTGAGGCCATGTATATAATCTGCCATCTCTGATTATATTAAATTAGCCCATCCTCTAACAAATTTGATTGTGATCTGCAAGGTTCAAAATTAAGTGTTAAAATAAATTTAAAAAATATATTTTCTATAAACAGCTCCAATTTCAGCCTTATGACAAAATTCTATTGTTACAGCATTCTTTTAGTCCTGAAATGCTCCTTGTTTCCAGAAGGTGGCATTCATATAGGCGATTAAGACAATGTTACCACAAAGAACAGAGTTTTAGCTTGCATTGGAAATAGCTTCCTTAAAAAGCTACTTATAGCTCTAGTTCATTTCTGAGCCATTTTTGGGAAGTGGTGGGTTCTTACACAGAACTTGCCAACTACACCTTAACCACTGTTAATACTTTGATGTACCTATTTTCAGACTCTTACTCTATTCAGTAAAGTATAGAAGGATTTTTAAACAAAAATGATATCATATTCTATATTTTTACTTTTTTCAACTAACATAGAATTACAATATTTCCATTTGGCTAATTTTTTGGTCAAGAATATTGTACTGTAACTGTACCCTTCTTATTTATCTGTGTTAGTATTGTAACACTTAAAAAATGCACAAAGGGATGATTGGTTTTGAGAGAGGAAAAAAAAGATGAACCCAATAGTAGAATCATAAACATAGATCACAACCCTAGAATAAAAACACAAAAGTTAGAATACAAACCAGATAAAACATTTGGAAGTTCGAAAAAAAATTATTCTTTTATATAACAATAGTAAATACAATAGACATCCTAAGTTGTCTATTGGATGAATACTTGGATAACTTAAAAATGAATACTGGATTGTAAAAGAGGCTTAAGGGGTGGGCCCAACAGGATATAGACAGAGCAGACCATGAGTCTCCAATGTTTTTTAAACCCCTTTATAGTTAAGCACAACTCTTTCTGATCCTTGCACCAATCCTAGAGCCCATTCAAGTTACATTGTTCAAGGAGCATAGCACTGGCAATAACCTAGCACAGTAATGGGTATTTCAGGTAGAATTAGGCCAATTCCAATTTTCTACAAGCCCGGGAAAGCTCTGAAGAAAATCTAAAATGCCTGCAGCTGACACCAGTAAACTTCTTGCAACATTTTTGTGCAGCGCGTAGCTAAGGGTTTAGCAACATATATTTCAAGATACTAGTCCCATCCCATTAGATGAAATGCAGATCACATAGGAATTCTAACCAAAGAGCAGTTCCTTCCTTCATTGTTTAACATCATATGTCTAAAAGACGTCTACAGAAGGTGTTGTTTTGATGCCCTACCCAGGTGCCCTTTATGGAAACAGGGAACCCATCTGTCACTAGCAGCAAGTGTTGTTAATGGCTTGCCCTTGACTCCTTCTTCAAAGAATTGCCCTAGTCCATTGTTTCTCCATCCCAAATATTTCTGAGAGATAATTCTTTGTTGTGAGGGGCTGTCCTGTGCATTGTAAGATGTTTAGCAACATCGTGGCGTCCAACTTCCCAACACCAGTACCAGCCCTGCTGTTGTGACAACCACAAATATCTCCCCAGACTTTCCAAATGTTTCTTAGGGGACAGAATTGCCCACAGTTTAAAATGACTGCCCTAGATTGATTGGAGGCTCCAAGAGTAATTACCACCACCACCACCCTGCCATCCAGTCCCACAACCGTAAAAACTGATCTGGGGTAGAGAGACTGCCTTAAAGGAGCAGATGACTCCAGCATGGCTTATGGTCCAGAGTTCCTTATGGGATCAGGCCAAGAGTACTTTTCCCCAAGTCCACACCCTTGCTCAGTTCTTTCCCTTTCCCTGTCCTTCTTCACTTCCTTCCTTACAGGTTTCTCCTATAAATGCCCCCTGGATAAATCACATGCATTCAGATCTTTGTCTCAGGCTCTGCTTCAGGAAATAGATCTAGGGCACCTGACCCATGAGCTCACTTTGAGAAACTCCTTCCTTCACATTCTTTTTTTTTTTTTTTTTTCCTAAGATTTTATTTATTTATTTATTTGAGAGAGAATGAGAGAGAGAGAGAGCATGAGAGGGGGGAGGGTCAGAGGGGGAAGCAGACTCCCCGCTGAGCAGGGAGCCCGATGCGGGACTCGATCCCGGGACTCCAGGATC